CTGTCGTAGTCGAGAAAGATCACCCACAGGTCCACAGTCACAAAGTATGCCCCGTCCCCCTACTAGAGGGCCACCTTCCGAAGAAGGGCCTCGTTCAGGTTCAGGGGGAGAGAGAAGAAAGGACTCGGGGCTTTAGCTTAAGCACCACGGCTGCGGATATGTGCTCAAGCACCACAGGACAAGGCAGAAGAGCTCCCCCGGGGGCTCAGCCCAGGTCAACTCTCTGCCTCGCCCCCCGCACAAGAGGGTGGCACAACACCCCCAAGCACAGGTGTAGTACTTGAGCCAAAATGGCTACACACACTCTCTCTCTCTCTCTCTCCGCAACTTGCAGTAGTCTGCGTTCTGCGTGCAGGCCAGGTGCTTGTCAGCTCGGACACCAGCAAGGCGTTCTCATTTACCATCTTTCCCACATCATCCTGCACCAAATGGTGTTGGTTACAGAAGCAGCTTGACGTACTTCAAAAGTTGCCTGCATGGAAATCAGGTCGGAGCCTGTGCAGGCCAGCCCGGTGTACCGTGCAGCCTTCCAATTTGCCCCTCAAATCCAAAAGGCCTTCTGCACTTTCTCCGACCTGGCACGTGGGCTTGTGCGCCGTGTTCGCACTCACTGTCACTACTGTCACAGATCCAGGCAGCCTGCTGGCAATATTTTATACGGCCAGTGTGACTCCACTGCACCAGCAGCGGTTGCACAACTATTCAAGGCATTGACGCTCCGGAATGCGCAGAAATGCGCCGAGGATGCGCGGAAGGCGAGTCCGGATGCGAGGCACACCAACTCAGAAGCTTCGGGTGCACGTCGGGTGCGAGGCATCCTCGTACACCCGTTTCGTAGGCTTTGGAAGAAGTATAGCTCCGGATTCTACGATGCGATGAAGCCCCGCCGATTCCTAGAAGCGCTTGAGCGAGAGCTAGCTTGGAGCGCGATTGCAGCATTTATCCGCAGGCCATGTTGCAGCGTGCTTAGCTCCTGTCAAGAACGATGCCGCGGGCGGGATGCACTCGCGCCTGTTGTGCTAACTCCGAGTTCTCGACTAGAAGGGAGCGGTACCTTCCGAACCCGTTGTTCGTGGGAGAGAAAAAGCCGGCGATCTTTGGAGCCCCTGCAGTTGCCTGCCCTTCAGCAGGTCGAGCGTTTCTCTCAGCTCCTTGTTGTCCTTCCGCAGCTGGTCGCCTGAATTGTAGTGACATGCAGTTAGTAAAGCAAGCAGGCAAGGCTCCCCAGCCTACTTCCTCCGCCTGCTTCTGCAGGTCTTGCAGCTGCTCTACAGGGACGCAGTCTGTCACCTGCATCATTTGAAGCTCATAGCGCCATGACAAAGCGAGTCCGATCAGTGCTCTGTGCCTCGGAGCTCAACTTCGTCAGCATCTCCTCCAGTTTCTGGTCCTGAGTAGTTCCACTGCCTCTCTGCTTGAGAAGTTTTCAGGCACAGGTCCGGTAAACCGTGAGAGTCCAAGAGCCCGACTGCTGAAACTCCACTTGACAGCTCGGTGATCTAAGCGGCAGTGAGTTCGCTTCTCAGTTTGAATGAAGCAACAGCTCTTGGGCCTAAGGTCACCAGATCCACCAAGCGAGGCTCGCGCCATCATCTTTTTGGTCACTTGCCGCTGAAGGAACTTGTACCTGATAGCTGTCTGCTGGAAGCATTTGATTCATCAGGATGTGGAAGCATGCATGAAGTGTTCCAGCGCACGGGTCTTCCGGTTTGTCCTGAGCGGATCATTAAACAAAGTGCTGTACTATGGACTTGTTTGCTGGCTTTGCTGTTGCTGTTGTTCGCGAGCTACCTGCCTTCATCAGGCTTTGGATGAGGAACTGCATGAAGGAAGTCAGCCCATGTTTCTCAGCAGATGGGGCGCTGCAAAGATGCTCTGCAAGTCTGCTCAACCGGAAAGCACCTCCAAATATGACTTGGCGTCGTCTTCCTTTTTCTTTTCTGCCTCCTGTTTTGGTGCTCCGAGCGACGCAAGCAAGATGCGAGCGAGCGGATGTGTACATGCTGTTACATGCGGGTCGCGGCCCCGACCTCTGCAGCGCCCTGCGAGACTTCCGCGCCTGCTTCTTTTCGCTGCTCTCTCTGCGCGGTTCACTCGGGGAGGTGTCAGATGCGCGATGCGAGTCACTGCACAGGCCAGCACCTGCGCCGCCAAGCCTGATGCCAACCTGGGGTACTTGAGGCAGAGGAATCAATCAGGAATTGACCTCCAACCCATGCACGCGGCCGTGCCTCCATGCCGGTGCTGCCTTCTCCCTCGAGCGGCGACTCTAAGGGAATGCTGTATTCCGACCTGCAGTGCTCCGAAAGCGAAATGGCCGTGGCATGCCATGGATTTTCTTCCCTGTGAATGCCACGTGGATGGACTGCACGACACGCGCGCGGTGCCCGCAACGTCCAGAATTTCGACCTGTGTTGCACGGCAAGTGAGCTAGCAACTGGCTTGCTGCAATGTGCTGACCTTCACAGAGGAGCACTCCTGCACAGGAGTACTGACAAAGCCGGGCTTTCAGCAGGTGGTCAGGCGGTCTCAGGCGGTCCTCGAGCTTGGTTGGGAACTTCAGTGGCCTGGAAACGGTTTGGAAAAGGTGCAGAAGGCCAGAACATGGAGGCGGCTAAAGCCTGTCCAACTGCGAGACGTGGACTTGGCGACGGGTACCTTTCCAAGCATTTGCAAACCTCGCCTTCGCAAGGACCGAAGCATGTGACAGGCTCCTATTCAAATGTGGCGCACTTCCCACACGAATCGAAAGGATGCTGGACCTGGAGTTCAACTGTCCAGCTGTGACAGAACATAAATCACAAGCTGGCTTGGTTCGTGGCTCAGGAATGCCATTATGACGGAGGACCTGAAACCAGATAGCGCATTTCCCTCATGCATAGGCCAGTGTTGCGGGCCTCGCCTCGACTTCCATGTTTGTGAGCGGCGGGGCAGCGGCTGAAAAGGCGCAAGACCCCCCTCGCAGACGCGCGGCTCGGTTCAGAGCCGACAGCGGGTCTCCAGTCTCATGGATTCCCTTCTCAGCTGCTGGTCACCACCTTCAGCTCATCTTCTCCCACGTCGGCTGCGTTCCTCTTTTTGTAGCTGCCGCGGCTGTGTCTTTGACAGCACGCCTTAAGCTAAGCACAAACTAAGTCCCCACATTGACGGCCTGCGACACGATCGGGAAGCTTGGGCAGCAGTCACAAACACTCGCCGAGCTTTCAGGGCTTGGAGAACCTTCAAGTCTTAAGATGCAAGCATTCCGGACGTATCACAGCTAGCCTACGTTAGCTCTCCCTCAGCTCCGTTCCGTCATGCCGGCTGCGCCCTCCCAGCCTGCAAACTAGGAACGAGGGAACTTCTTCGTTTCTGTGTGTTGTACTGGCGCAGGTAGATGTGTAATAATGCAGGCCATCACACAAGGCGAACCCTGATGCAAAAAGTAGATTTGCAGGTTTTGCAATGAACCACTCTTCCAGTCGTAGATATTCTTCGCAGGGCCTGAGATGTGGTAGATGCTGCGACAGACAAGCTCCCATTTGCAGTACAGCTCGCGGTCCGACTACCCAACGAAGCACAAGCACGAGGGGCATGTTGGAGGTTGCCTGCCCTTTGACTGCGCACCCATAGCTGATCTGGCCCTGAGCCCTGCCGGCTTAAGTCGACACCAGCGTTGGCCTGAGGAAACTCGTCAGCGGCTGGGACGGCAGCGAAGCCTCCACATCCTGCTAGCATTGCCGACAATGTGCCACCCCCGATTCCCCGCAGCGCGCAGCTTCTGTTTCTTTTCATCCGCGACATTGCAGTGGGTCAGCGCCAGCGTTCAGCCTTCCTGCTCCGCCTCATTGGGCTCATCATTCCCATCTTCATTCCCTTCCTTCTGCTCCTCGTCGCCATCGTGCATGCGAAGCGGCGGTGCCTTTGCATCAGGTACCTACGAGTAGCAACATTCCCTACATCTGGATCCCAACCCTTAGCCTTCTCCGCTGATCCGCGGAAGGCAGCAGCAGCAGCTTCCAAGGCATCTGCTTCGGCTGCCCTGCAATGAGATATAGAGGGACGACAGATTGCCGAGTGCACAAAGACAGGCACATCAGCACAAATGTTGTGAGTATCTGCGCGCCTGAGGCCTGCATTCACACCGCGCCGCAGCGCTGCGGCTCGTGCCTCCAGCTCGGCTTCCTGCCCGACATGTCGCACTTTCAGATGACGGTGGGCGCAGTCCACACGTGGCTCGGTCCTCGCCCTCTTCCTGCGCCTTGCGCTTCTTGGCCGGCTTCTCAGCTGTTGGGCAGCCAGCCTGCCGAAGACGTTCGAAGACAAAAGGGGCTTTTTGTTGTGCATTCTGCTTAAAAGCACCTTCGCCCAACCGATGAGATCCGCTGGCCGCGGGGAGTCCCACCAAATGGGCCCTCCAAGCCGCCCACACTCTTGCGAAGAACAAGAGATGCAGCCTTGCAATGGACATGGCCCCACGGGACGGGGGTGCTGGAGGCCTTTTAGGCACAGATTCTCCCACCTGTCGAGACTGCCGGCTGTGCAGCACCTGCCTTCCTCAAGTGCAAAGGCACCCGACCTTGCTCATGCTCAACTCCGCAAGAAGCTATGCGGTGATATGCGGTGTATCTGAGGCAACGCTTGTCCAGTACGGGTTCTCGGTCGTCACAAAGCCAACCCGATCGCGATGATGCATTACTTTGCCAAGTTGCATATGGCTGTCGTTCCAAAGTTTGTGTTTCTCTTGTCGATGGCCATAAGGGAGCAGAGGTACTCAAAGCCCGGCTTCCGCCACTTCGCGATCAGCGAGGCATCCTTGGCAGTTTGCCACAAGTTGCCTTACAGCTGGGAAAAGCCAAATCTCTTCTGAGTGACTGCGTACTTCTCTTGCAGCAGCCAGTCATAGAGTTCTCTCGTAATCGCCTTGTCAACGAAGGCGCAGAAGAAGTCAGCTCAATGAATCAGACCTGGGAAGAGCTCTGGAAACCGTTCTCCGACGCCTTCTTCTTGTAGTAGAGCTCGTAGACATACCTGGCCAGTGCCACATGATGCATGGTGGCATTCGACAGAAGGAGTCTACTTAGACTGCCCCAACCTGGAGCGTTCCCAGTGGATCTTCGTGATTTTCCAGGTGGCCTCAAGACTCTCAAAGTGCAAGGTAGGTCATGCAGATCTCTGTTAACTCATGTGCCCGCCTCGTTGCGTCGCTTGCCCTCATGCGGCTCGTTGACGGCATCTCGCCTTCAACACCAGAGGACAGCCTGAAGGATAGTGCCAAGCCCTGAAAATGACGGGGCTCCGGCATCTGGTTTGCAAACTCTTCCAACTGGGGAGCAACGTCATCCCATCCTTCAGGAGCCTGATAAGAACAAACGCGCTGCAGACACTCCAGTGCTTCAGTGCAGCTCTGGAATCTGCCTTTTTGGTATTCAGAGTGCGTATCCGGGGCATTGCTGCCCTCCTAGTGAAGGCCAAGCGGGGCGTCTCTAAACGCCTTAGCCGCCTTTGAGCCCGAGCTGTGCCAGAATCTGAAGACGCGTCCCCTTCCACTTTCCCTGACGCCCCCCTCTGGCGCGGGCCCTCGCACCGAGCAAGCCGAGGCCTGAGCCGGGTCGGAGACGTTGTCCAGTGCATCCCAGAGCCGGCGGGTGTCCCGTGCCCGTGCCTGATTCAGGTAGCTCGATTGCGGGCAAAGTGCCAGGATTTCTTGGAACCGGCCGGCTCCAAATCACGCCCTTCTCACAGTCAGAACATGCAAGCCGCCTCCATCTCGCGGCGAGCCAACTCGTCCACAGCCAGCAGGCTCTGCTCGAGAACCTGATGATTATGTCCAGCATGGCAGCAGTGATAAGGTTTCACAGCATATGGGCAACGACTCTGCAGATAAGCCGCGGTGAGCCGTTCAAAGGCTTTTCGCTCTCGAGCCACGACTCCCAACAGCTCGCGCCCTCGGACGGTCGACATGGTAGCTGGCCGGCTCACGTGCTAAATCCAAGGTCAGGGCGTTGCAGTTCCCGAGCTGCGCGCTCGCTCTCAAACCGCTCCTGACAATGCACTGGGAACTGAATGAAAAATGGCTTTCCCGTAAAAAAAGCCGCCTGAACAGCTGCTTCCTTGAGCTGGCGTGCTTGCTGATCGGACGCAAGCTTCCCCTCGGCCACGAGAGCTGGTCACAACTCAGAGAATGAACTCGATCACCAACGCGAGGACAGCAGAAAGTTGCACGACTTCTTGTGTTCTTCCCGTTGGCTTCGCTGTTGCACGCTGCCTGCCGTTTCGAAGGATCAAGTCCTTCGCTTTCCGCAGAGATGAGGGATGCAGGACTTTGTAGGCCTAGACGAAGGCTCGGGCTAGTTTTGCTGGCTGCATGTTACGGTTTCTTGGAACTCCGAACGACATTCCAATGCGAAGTTTACTTTTCGGTCCGAGCGCGATTTCAACTGGAGGCGCCGTGAACGGAGTCAAGTCCTGTGATTGACTCGATCACTTCGAGAAGCCGTACGGAACTTCAAGTTGAACTGTCAGTGCCTCCTGTGCTGTACGTGCTCGTCACGCGAGGCCCCTAGGCCTCGACAAGGGTCATCGGGCGGGGATGTGACTGAACTTTCGCAAATGGAAGCAATATCAGTTGAGGGCGGTGCGACGGGCTTCCACAGCTCGGGGTTTCTGGGGTGTAGGAAGGGGACGGCTGTGCCGCGTCGAGTCGGGTTAGGAAGTCCCTGCCCTACTGTTGCTAGCTGCCAGATGGTGCAAGAGTCGGGCAAATGCAATAGAAGGTGTCAGAAGGTTGTCATGCTGTAAGGCCACTCTGCCGAGGTGCAACACGGGGGTTTATAGAAATGATGCTGCAAGAACACACAAATCCGAGTCGAACCCAGCAGCCGGATGCCGACCCGCCGGCAGGCTTCTTTCATCTTGTTTCTCTACCGATATGCCTTCACAACGTCGTAGGACAGCAACGGACGCAGGACGACCGCAAGACATCGAAACTTGTTGGCTCAGCATTCCCACAGGAAGTGATGCGAGTTTGCGGACCATCGAGTGGAACAGGAAGATTGGCAACTGAGTCTGCGGCCAGTGCTTCTTCCTGAGCCTCGGCGTGTTCAATCAATTGGGCTCGATTCGCGAATAGTGGACACGACGCCAGTGCCTGCCCACCTTTCATGTCTCCATGGCTGCGACGGTACTTTTCGGGTCACAGTGCTCAGGTCACAAAGTCTCAACACAAAGGTGCCGCTCCAGCCGTAGGTCCTCTTCGGTACAGCCGAGGGCCTTCTGCCAGAATTGGGATTTTGAGGCACCTTCGGTGAGATCAACTCGGACATCACGCCTTAGGGCTAGCATTTTGGGCAGGAGCTGAGCGATCTCCTCCAGCTGCGCTGTGAGCCTGCGTGCCTGACAACCCTCAGAGAGTTTGATCAGCTTCACCCAAGGACGGAAGGCCCCGAAGGCTCTCCGGTTCGAGGTCTCTAGGGAACGGCTCCGTCCCGGCCCAAACTCTCCGAAGTCGCAGTCCCGCTCCCGCTCGCTGCGCTCACTGCGCTCGCTGCGCTCGCCTTGGAGGCCGCTAGCACCCTGACCACTCTCGGATCCGCTGCTGCCACTGGCATCCTCCTTGCTCCCGTCTTTGGAGGATGTCCGACTTCCGCACGGTTTCTCCGTCTGGTTCCCTCCGGGCTCAGGCTGGTCCTGCAGGCCACAGGCACGTCGATAGAGACGACCCCGCTTTGGATGCTGGCTGTGAAGGCCCTGGCTCGCCAGCTCTGCAGCACTCATTTCTGCTTCGGTGTCTCCGATGGAAACCACATTTACGACATTCAGAAGCTTCGCTTCGTTCTTCTCTTCCCCTTGCAGGCCGTAGAGGTGGTCCAGTTCCGTCAAGGCGCCGGCCATGGCCGCCTTCTTCCAAAGCATGAACTCACCCTGCTCGTCCACGAAGGGAAGGTTCGACCCATCGCAGTAGGCCTGCTGAGCATAGATGACCTTGATCGGATGCTGAGAACGGACTGAATGGACACCATGCACACCAATGTGAGTCCGCAGCTTGGGCAACCATCTCTTGATCGTCTTCTCCACCCAACCTGGCACTGCGTTGGTGACAATGCACACCACCCCAAGCGACTGAGCTATCCGTATCGTTCGGATACAGGCCGTTTGCAGGTCGGCAATATGTTGTCGAACATGCGGCTCGTCTGGTAGCGGTTGTTTGAACCAGCTGGGTATACTATCCCGCCAGTCCTCTTCCGTTTCAAGGCAGTCATCATACTGGTCCAGCCATTCCTCCATGTCTGCTAGGTGCTCCTTGAGAAGACTGCGGATCCAACTAGTCGGACACAGTGTATCATCCCAGTCGAAGAAGATGATGTTCCGCCTGATGGGGAATGCTGCTGGCAAGGGCCGTGGCACCTTGGCAACTTGCAGGATACGGGGGGCGACCGCAAGCATCATATCGGCAGGGATCGTGTTGCACCGTGAGGTCCGCCTCTTTGGCGGCTCAGTTTGAAACACAAGCTGCACTGCAGGCTCTTCGCTGTCTGGTATGCGCATGCCCACGGCCATTCTGCTGGAAGCCGATGGCGGGGTGCTCCGTCCGTCATCATCCATTGGGGGCACCACGATAGAGGACCGAGAGCTTTTGGAGCTGAGCTGCAAGGCCAGACCACGCCTGGCACCCAAGCCTCGTGCATGTGCCATGAGGTCCCCGGTCAGGCGACCGGCGGCGGATGCTGCAGGCGAGCGAAACGACTTGATGTCCAAGCCCCCACTGATGCTGCCGGCATCTGATGCCTCTGTGGTGCCAGTGGCATCGCGCTGCAAAGCCACCGGGAAGAACGGGCTCTCAAAGCTCGGATCACTGGAGGTCGGCGACGCATCTCGTTTGGAGGTGGAGCTGTTGCTTTTGCCGTGCGCCTCAAGTGGACAAAAAAAGCGGGGGTGGACGCGACTTAGTGCAGACAAAATGCTTCATTTATGCTTCTCTCTGAGGGCCGTGCCGGTGCAGGGTTTGGCTCCTCGTCGGAGCTCTGGCCCGGCAGCCAGACCTCGGCGCCGGCTCCGCCATCTCCGCCATCGGGACTTTGCCCGCGTGCTGGAAGGGACTTCGCCTTCGCGAAGCCCTTCGCAGCCACTCGCCCGAAAGAGGGCGAACTGGAGCTGTGGCTGTCGAGAAGCTCGTGGCGCGGCTTCACGAAGCTTCGTGAGCCGGAGGCGTGGGCTTGCCTGGCCAAATTGGATGAGAAAAAGCTTTGGCCTTGGCCAAATGCAAGAGCATCTCTGGGCTGCATGGGCTGGACAGGTGCCATCGCGTGTGAAGGAGGTGACTGTGCCAGAGAGGTCAGTGATGCTGTCATGGCATCCAAGGCCTGTGCCACACCTGGGGCTGCGGCTGTGACGCTGCTGCTCTGCAGCCGTCGCTTCAGCTCAACGGTAAGTCTGTTTTCAGTCGGCTGCTGCTTCAGCTTCACGCTTTGTCTGGGAAGCTCAAACTGCTGCGCGAGCTGCGGATCGCCGAGATGTAAAAGTACATCGGGGAAGCGCTGGAAGAGTCGCACCACGCATGCCTCCTTCTCCTCTTGAGAAGTCTCTGCCCAAGTGAAACCCTTGGTCATGGCACTGCACTTTAGTCATTAGTCTTGGCGTTGAAAACGGGCAGCGGACAGAGAGCAGCGAGTGAGCATGAGTGAGCATGAGTCGTATGTAGCCTTATCTGAGGCGGCGGCATGCATTTGCTCTTCAAGCGGGATGGTCAAGCGCTGCAGGTCTTCAACGCGCATGTCCACCTAATGAGGGAGTTTTTGACAGCTCCGACCCGGCAGCTTGGCCTCTGGCCTCTGCTCGATGCCTTTCTGCCAAAACGGTGTTGTCGTGCAAGCCGTTGTGCAAGCGTTGCAAGTCAGCTTTATGTTCTTCGGCTTCAGCGCGCTGCTCCGCCTCCACGTGTAATGGAAGAACAGCCCAAAGCGTCCAAGCGCCATCCTCCTGCAACTGCGCAGCCTGCACAGCCTGCACGGTCTCAAGCCTCTTGCTGACATCCCCCAGCCTTCATTCGCCACAGAGCTGCTTAGAAACTGTCCGACAGCTCAGGGGGCTGCTGACGGGCTGCGACACATTATCGAGCTCGTACAGTGAGGTCCGGGCCGTTTGCTCAGCATGTCGTCTACATCTGAGGCACTGCGCTGCACAGTTTCCAAGACACCACCAAAATCTTCCAGCCTCTGACAAGCAGGAAAGAATTTAATTCGAAGCACTGCAGAGGCCAACGGGGGCCATGCTGTGTCGTGAGAGTTGCTTGAGTTGCCTCAAGCTCTCTGATGCCTTCCGTTGACTGCAATAACATGGAGATGTCCGAAAGTGGCACTCCCGTCACGAAGTGCCTTGCTTTACTTGGGTGGTCTCTGCTTCACGGATCCTTTGCTCCTGGAGCTGCCCACAGAGTCACTTGTTTCACAAGATGAAGGAAGAGTGTGTTATCAAACTCTCGGAGTACAGAGCGGCTTAAACGGGCTAGACCTAAAAGTCTAGCTGTCTACCTGCCTACTTTGGTTTCCAGCGGCTAATGCTCTTCACCGTCTGTGCCTTCCGCCCACTCTGCAGGCTCCGGCGCTCCTCGGTCATCATGCCCACGATCTGCTCCACGCGAGATCTCAGCAATGAAAGAGCATGGAAGGATGCGAAGACTCTGGCTGCACACCGAGCCCCACGAGATCTTTGAAGCTTCCTGTGCAGCGCGTGCATGGCTGGCCTGGATCAGAGGCAGAGAAGTGCTCGACATGTCACTCTTCGACCCGCACCCATCCCTTTACACGCGCTCACTCAGTGTCTGCGGCTACGCACCGGCCGGTACGCAGCGCCTGCAGCGATTCGACTGCATCGTAATTCACATCTTGGCGAGTCCGCACGGCCTGTCACCGATTGATCAAAGCTGCTCAAGAGATTTGCTAGGACTGTGCCAGAGTACACTTGTGCCTCGATCTGTCCCTTTTGGTCATCCAGACGTGCGTCCAACTCTGGCCTCAGTCCAGTGACGCAAAGAGTCCACATCGTCGCACGTCGGCAAGCATGTGCAGACACTTGTGTTCACTAGCCGAGTAGCAGCTGCTCTAGGACCTCCGAGAGCCTCTCTCTCAAGGCAGCCTCTGGCTGGGCTGAGCACTACGAATGAGTCCTAGGCCTATGCCTGCCTGAGCCCCTGCGAGCTCTGCATCCAGAGCCTGCACAGCTCTTCCCATGACTTTTCGGAGTGACTTCGGTGCAGCAGCTTGCATGGGCCCATAACCGCAGATAATCCGAAAGCATAGGTATGGAAGGGAGGAACCTAAAGACTGCATCGACGCTGACCTGATGCTAGCTGCTTCTGACTGCGCTGGCCAGCCGAACGGTCGATTCAGTAGCCTTGGCTTCGTAGTTTGCTCGACTGCACCTTCCATACTTCGTGGCACGCGTTTGGCCCACCAGACTCAATTGAGGCTTTGTCTGTGCGGCCGTCTGGCCAAGGCCTGACGTTCACCGGCTCCGGGGCCCCCCTTATAAGCCTCGCCCGCTCCAACATTCGAAATCTTCGCCACTTCGAATTCTCGGGTATCGCAGGCTGTGTTGAGCACATGGGTACCGCCCTTGCAAGATCTTGCAAGTGCCTTCCGCAATTCTGCTGCGGTCGCCGCCTCGTACAGCAGAGGTTAAGCGCTTGCATCACCGAATGCATCAAGAGAACCCGTACCGGCCTACCTGTTTCAGCTCAACTGCAGACATCTGCCCGGAAAACTGCTCGGAAAGCTGCGCTTCCAAAATCTTCAATGCCTGAATGCAAGACTGGCGCTGGCACTTCGAACGTTCAAGACGTCTCCATTGCATGCCGTGCGCCCGCCTCTGCAGACTCAGTCTGCAACTTGTCGATCTGCTGCCGGACGGCGGCGATGCCAGAGTTGCTGAAAGCCTGCTGCAGCTGCGAGGCGCATCGCAGCACATGGGGACAGCCGCCAGCAGAATGCTAAGCCGCTAAGCTTTCCGATTTGACTCGAAGCGATTTACGTGCTCGTCTGTACTCAGCTTCTACAAGACTACAAAGGACTGAGACTCGGCAAAGAGGTCCCTCCTCAAGGCGAGCCTTCTGATCTTTAATTCTTAGTTTTTGCACTCGGCCCTTCGCGAGCACGAACCACGGTACTCAGAAAACCATCTTTCCTGCCATCACCTCCACACCTTCATGCTGACGGCCACACCACATGCAAACCGTGCGAGTTTTACCTGCACACTGGCAGCTTGCCGGTGTAGCTGCCAATGGCTGCCACGGCAAAAAAAAAGCCACATGGTCCAAAGCTGTAAGCGACGCGATGATGCACCAAAGATGTGCCGTGTTGGGTCCGTGATCGGAGAGGTTCAAAAATATCCGCAGGCAACACAACTCAACATCCGCTTTCAGCCCTGGCACAGCACAGCTCCGTCGCACAATCAGGTACTACAGAGGCATTGCTTACCACAGCGCACAACATCTCTGCAGCGAGACAGAACACCTATGTCAGCATGCAGCATCATGCCGACTGCGAGGTTGGAAGACAAGCAGCAACTTGTTACAGCTCACAACACTGGTACTATGGCTCAAAAAAGAATAACGGTCCAACGAGGAAGTCGACCACTTCCGTTGTGGAAACAGCTTTGCAGAGCAAGGTGACGACTTCAGTCCCATGTTTGCACTTTCAGATTGCATTGGCTTCCCCCTCGAATGGCCACTGTTTCGTTAGAAGAAGGCCTGCGGCTTCTTGGCGCAGCGCCCAGAGCGAAGAGGCTTAGCTTCGGCAGAGCCCGGTTGGAATCACGTCGGGTGATGCGCACGTCGTGGACGAAACCGGGCAAATAAAAATCAACAGCATGGGAAAGCAGGGATCAGCTGCTGTCTCTTGAAAATTTGAGGTGGTCTCTCTCTCATTCATTGCTTCCCACTTCATCATGTCTGTGTGACAAGGCATGTGGTCATTTGAGCAGGGAGACCGTAGCCAATCGCTGGACAACAGCCCCGCAGTTTTTTTCCATTGGAACAATCCAGCGATGAAATCTAAAGTCAAATTGTTAAACTAGAAGTGTCAGGCTCCAGAAAAAGGGTGCCAGAAAATGGCACCGTACAGCGATTCGGCTGGGATTCGGAAACGAAAGCGACGTCCTCGAAGCTGCTCATGTCGTTCAGGTGACGCGGGGTCGGCGCGGCATTGCGCTCCTGCCCTGTGGCTGCGCGCCGGGCGCCCAAGCCCGTGCCTGACCTGCAGCAGTCAACGTTTCCAGCCGTTGAGGCGGCGTGACGGCGATGGGAGTTGCGGCGGGAAACCCCGAAAGGCTGGGAAGGCAATCATCGCCTAGGCGCCAGGTCTCTGCATCAGCAGCAAGGCAAGCCAAACCTATCTTTCTAGAGGCCTACACGCGCTCGGCCCACCAGCAGAGGTCGCGAACAACACCAGTGCTCTTGTGGAGGGACCTGGTGTCGAGTTCCGTCACACTTGGGGCACCAAGTCCGTGTCCTTTGAAGCATCTGTGGCGCTGTTGGAGCTCAGCAACCAAAATTTGCTGTTTCCATCCACTTGTGGGCCTTGGAGGTGGCGCCACCCCCCTCGAGCTGTCTGCTCCAGGAAACATCGTCAAGGCATCTTGCTTCATCTCAAGCGCCACACGTGGAGCAAAGGGCTCAGCAAGACCCGCCGCTGCTGCAACAACCACTGGGTCGACCGCTAACCCAGTCTGTGCAAGTGGGGGATCGACGGCCCAGCATGTTTCCAGGCAGATAGGCTGCCGGGCGAGGCAAGCAAAGTCTGTTGTTTCTCTTACAGTCCAGGCCACAGATCTTGGTCTGACCGCTCAGTGACTCGAAAGTGGGCGCTGGAAAACGAGGCGCCCGCTTGGCTCCCAACCGGATGCGACAGACATTCAGGAAACCACTTTCGGAAACACTGGAGTCAAATTCGCAAAACATGAACGAAGATTCGCAAAACATTGGCAGCGATTCAGGAAACCAACCGACGGCTCAAACGACAGCGAACTTGTTCAGGTTGGCACGGCCCAGACCTCTGAAAGAGCTTGATTCCGGAGCCCGAAGGAGCTGTTTGCTGCAGATTCCAAGCCCTAGACCCGTGCACCTAAACCTCGTCCTCAACCCTCAAGCTGCAGTGAGCATGGCAGACGGTCGGCTGGCCCTTAAACTGTAACCTGACCCTGCATTATACTCGGAGATGTTGGTCGGCAAACCACAACAAGGAAAGAATTTATTGGCTGCCGCCCTGAAAGGACATGTTGGCTGAACGAAAATGTTTGTCAGCAACCCCTGAACCGTAGCTTTATATTGTTATACTGTAGGTGTTGCAGTTGGCTGGTTAACCCCCGAACCCCAAAAGAAGATGTTGGTTTGGAAACCCGAAAGAACGCTGCGGGTGGCACTCAGACCCACATGAAGATTGCGGATGGCAAACACTTGAAAGAAGAAGCCATCGCAAACCTAAACCTAAAAGGTCGGGTGGCAAATCGTAAACCTTAAAGGAACGTCGTAGGTGACAAACCTCAAGCAAAACACAAAGATATTGTGTTGGCAAGTCCTAAGGTTTAACCAACTGTCGGTTGGCTGAGGCCGAACCCTTCTAGAAAATCGTGGGTAGCAAACCTCAAACCCTAAACAGAAGATACTGGTTTACAAAAAGATGAACCTCAAAATGAGATGTTGGTTTGCAAGCTGCTTAACTTTCCCTGAGCCGACATGAAGATCGCAGGTGTGGCAACCTTCAAAGCCCCTATAGGAAGGTCGTGAGTGTCAAGCTTCAATCTCAAACTTTATTGTATTGGCGGTCCGCTGCCGGTTGGCCAAGGCTCCAAAAATTCTAGATATTGTGTTGCCAAACCCTCAACCTCAGAAACCAGCTTTGGTTGGGCTAAGACCAAACCCTGAAGGAAGATCGTGCCTGGCAAACCTCGACCCCCAACAAAAGATAACGGTGTGCAACAAAATGAACCTCAAAACGATATGTTGGTTTGCAAGCTCTAAACTTTCGCTAAACCCACAGCCCTAAAGAAGGAAGACACTGATTGGCAAAACCCTCTACCTGAAAGGGAATATTAGTTAGCAAATCCTAAAGCCTGAAGGAAGGTTGTGGATGACCAACCTCAGGCAAAAACAGATGAATAGCGTGCTGGCAATTCCTCAGCCGTTGGTTGGCTCCGGCTAAACCCTAAAGGAAGATCGTGGGTGCAAAACTCAAAACCTAAACAGAAGATACACAAACAGGATGTTGGGCTGCAAGCTCCTAAAATTTCTAAACCCGCAGGAAGATCGCGGATGTGGCAAACTTCAACCGCTAAAAAAGGAAGACACTGGTTGGAACGAAAGCCTAAAAGCGTGATGCTGGTTGTCAAACAAATCCTAAACCCCAGAAAAGGAAGGTCGTGGATCACAAACCTCAAGCCCTAAAACTTAAAGTCAGCTCCTGATTGCGGGTGGCAAACCTGTGACCCCAAACAGAAGATACACAAACGGGACGTTTGCTTGCAAGCTCCTAACTTTTCCTAAACCCACAGGAAGATCGCGGATGTGGCAAAGTTCAATCGCCAAGCAAAAGACACGCGTTTGCACGTGAGCCTACGTACGCCTCAAAGCGTGATGCTGGTTGTCAGACGCTAAACCCTAAAAAGGAAGGTTGCGGGTGACAGACCTCAAGCCGAAAAAACATGAGATATTGTGTTGGCAAACCCGAAAACCTTAACGTCAGCTGCTGAATATTGGTGGCAAACCTCCAACCCCAAAACGAAGATATAGAAACGGGATGTTGGCCTGCAAGCTCCTAACTTTGCTACGCCCACAGAAAGATCGCGGATGTGGCAACACTTCAATCGCTACAGAAGGAAGACACCGGTTGGCACGTAAGCCCACGTAAGGTTCAAAGCGAGATACTGGTTGTCAAACCCGAAACCCGAAAAAAGGAAGGTCGTGGGTGCTAAACCTCAAGCCGAAAAATAATAAAATACTGTGTTGACAGGCCCTAAACCTTAACATCGGCTGATGGCTGGCTGGCCGAGGCTTAAAGTTTGATCGCTGACGGCAAACCTTTTTGTAGAATGATGAACCAAAAAACGATGAGGGGCTCCGCGTGCGAGTTTCTAATCTGCCTTCCTGGCTTTCCGAATTTGGTTTCCTGAATCGGGGTACCGCTGTGAGCTAATCGTGTCCTCAGCCGGGCTACCAGCTTTACACCGCGTCACACTTGTTCTTGGCCGAACGAGGGCGTAGTCCGGTCCTCAGAGTTCGGGCTGCGTGTGAGGACGAAAGCCCTGGCGCGGCGGCTTACAGGATGGAACGGTCATACTTAATAAACCCAAAGAAAGTATCTTGATTTTTGTGTGTGCCAGTGTCCAGGATGTCCTGAAAATCGTTGAGGCAGTGTCGATAAGCAACCCCTTTGCAGCTTCGTCATGCCATGCTTCGTTGACACTGGCCCGGTGTGCCAGCTCTTGCTCCAGTTGTTCAATGCTGGCGCTGCGACTGACATCACGGAGACAGAGACCGATGGGAGCAGCCCCAAAGTCCCTACACTGTTCTACATTTTGTTTATTTGATGTCATCCTCTTTCAGCAGCACGCTTACTGGTTTGGAAAACTCAGGGCCATGACTGCTTCATGCTCGTAGCTGCCAGGCATGCTCAGGCCTGTTGCTGCTCGGCCGCGCCCAATCGGCCTCGCAGGCTCTCCAACTCCTTGGCACTCGTGATTCAAGACACCGCCTTCGACCGGAGACCATGACATATTTCGGCTAGGCCAATGCATCTGAGACTCAACTTGAAGGTCTTTTGCTGCAGCTACCTGTGCGAGCTGAACCTGTGCGGATGCTCACTGCTAGTCATCCAGAATCTGCTGATCCAAACGACGCGCCAGTCTCGCAAAAGCTACCAGCCAATTCAAGGCCTCTTTGGAGCCGGCATCCACCGTATCCAGTCGCTGGCGTATTGCCGCGAAGTGGGACTCGGTGGAAGCCTTTTCTCGCACCAACGACATTTGGAGATTCGGACTTCGGGCCAGCCGCCAGCCTCCGTCTTATCAACGAGTTGTCGGACCACTGTCAAGTTGGATTCAGCAGCCACCTGCGACGCGTGACCCCACAGAAATGCACGACCGGACTTGAGGTCTTGGCAAGAAGGATACCGCGAATGCAGATTTGATTCCTTGAGAGAAGATTCAGCCGCGGGGCAGATATGTTTTTCGACTAGCACCCAGATCCTTGAGCCTGCTCTGGAATAGGACAAAGACCTACTTGTGTGTGTGTGTGTGTGGGTCAGTGACTTGTTCAGGATTATTCAGGATTCAGATTATCTCCCCACTCCTGTCCTAGCGGTGCGGTGTCGCTTTAGCCTCGTCGTTTTGAATTTGGCGTTCACTTGCATATGTTCCAAATTGCACTTCTTGAGATTTGTGACACTGCTCTCAGTACCATTTCATGCCCAACAGCCCGGCAAGGCCAGGGCGGAGGGCTCTGAATCTTGACGACTCCTATTCTCACTTTTCATGTGACATCTGCCCCGCCTCAATCGCGGACCCCGCGTCCAACCCAAAATGAACTGTGACAAGTCAGTACAAGGTCCAGGACTGGCACAAAGGACTTGGTTCCGGCTCTACCTTCAGAGCAAATCCAAATGATCAAGCTTGAGATGCTGTCGGTTACTGACTGTTCCTGTTCCTGTTCCTCGCCGTCAAAGCCTGTTCAGACGTGACGCTACAGCATCTAATTACAGTGAAACATGTCGTGAAGAAGCGGGCGCGCCAGTGCGCTTTGTACCCTTACCTACAAGATTCGCCACAAAAGCAGCGCCAGCATCGAAACCCTGTCCACAGTCAGAGATGCTCCGTCCTTGCTCACCGCCAGTAGAGCATGGGACCATATGGGACCCAAGGAAGGCAGGAAAAAGGTGCCTTGCGGAGAAACCTCTGCTGTAAATCGACAACTGTGGTCTGTGTGCGAAACTTCAGACAAAGCAGCATAAAGCCGAAAGCGGAGCTCAGCTCATCAGCAGATTCCCTCAAACTGGCACCCTGAGGAAGACAAATGGTGACAGCGTTGGCCCCAGTTGCAATAGCATACTGACTCTCGAATTATCGCCAGTCGTTAGTAACAGTCGCCGCCGCCGTGGTCGAGCCGCAGCGGTAGCGGTAGCGGCAGCGGCAGCAGTAGCAGTAGCGGTAGGATCAGTGAGCAGAGGAAGCACAAGGAAGGCAAGTGGCATTATCAAAGATGGGACCCAAAAGGCCAGAGCCTCAAAACTGAGTCAGCCAGGGGGGCATGCTGGTAGGAGCGGTCACGGGCAATTCCACGGGACCCACGGCATCTCGAAACGCTGCCACTGAACGGGACGCGTAGCGAACTCTCGCGGAGTGAAGAAGAAGAAGCAGCAGTAGCTTAGCAGTAGCTTTAGCAGCAGCAGCAGCAGCCGCAGCAGCAACAGCAGACGCAGCAGCAGCCGCCGCCGCCGCCGGGGTGGTGGTGGTGGTGGTGGTGGTGGTGGTGGTTCTGGTTCCTGTTCTGGTTCTGGTTCTGTTTCGGTGCTGGTGCTGGTGCTGGTGGTAGTGGTGCTAGTGGTGGTTATGGTTGTAGTGGTGGTAGTGGTGGTAGTGGTGGTAGTGGTGGTAGTGGTGGTAGTGGTGGTAGTGGTGGTAGTGGTGGTAGTGGTGGTAGTGGTGGTAGTGGTGGAAGTGGTGGAAGTGGTGGCGGTGGCACTGGTGGTGGCACTGGTGGTAGTGGTGCTAGTGGTGGATTTGGTTGTAGTGGAAGCAGTAGTAGTGGTGGCAGTAGTAGTGGTAGTAGTGGTGGCAGTAGTAGTGGTGGTAGTGGTGGTAGTAGTAGTAGCAGCAGCAGCAGTAGTAGTAGTAGCAGCAGCAGCAGTAGTACCAGCAGCAGCAGCAGCAGCAGCAGCAGCAATAGTAGTAGTCGTAGTAGTGGCAGAAATGGGAGTGGTGGTAGTAGTGGTAGTAGTGGTAGTAGTGGTAGTAGAGGAGGAGGAGGAGGAGAGGAGTAGCAATAGTAATGGTATAGAAGAAAACAACCCCCATAATCAGACTACAAACGGCAGTTGCAGTGGCGGTAGCAATGGCTGGATGATCGTAGTGGCAGCGGTAGTGGCCGTGGCTGTGGCAGGTGTAGCAGTCGTCGTACAAGTAGATAGTATAGGAAGTTTGGGGGGTAGGGGGTAGAAGGTTGCAGGCAGTAGCAGTGCTAATCGTGCCGGAGGACGGAGGAGGAGGAGGCAGAGGAGGACGAGCGGAGGTCCAAGGTCTGTGATGGAGCGCCGGGCTGCGCACACAACAGAGGCATGGCCCGTCGAAGACATGAGTGCGTCGCGCAAAATCACAATGCAAGCATCACGAAAGCACCCAACATCCCGATTTGCTGTCACGCAACTTCCATCGAACTGTTGGGTCTCTGCCTGTGCTGCCACAATCCTTCCTGCGAGCTGCTTTGACTCCAGATCCTGGCTGCAGGAAGGTGGTGCGAATCGTGGTGGTCCGTTCAGTGCATCATGCTCAGGCCTGTTGCTGCTCGGCCGCGCCCAAGCGGCCTCGCAGGCTCTCCAACTCCTT